AAAAATGATTAATCAACCTCTCATAATTACAAAAAAATGAACAAAATGAAAAATTATGATTGGTTGAATGAGGTTTGCACGGTTTGTACAAATTGAGTGGTTTGCATTTGATCGCTCCCATATATATATATATATATATATATATATATATATGGGGTTGAGTTTCGGTGGTGAGAAGTGTTAAAACGGAACATCACCCCTGAATACACATTAGGATGAGATGCACCAGATCAATCCCTGTATAAAACGTGATTCATCGATGAGTTTGAAATTAAAGATGATCAAGGGTCCAGATCCCTTTTTACGCTTCTCACCTTAACTCTCATTCTCATCGGAACCCAACTTTATGTATATACACTAATATATACATACATATATAAGGTTGGGTTCCGGTGTCTATATATAGGGTTGAGTTCCTTGAGAGTTAAGGTAAGAAGCTTAAGAAGGGATCTCCATCATTTGATGCACATTAGGAGAAGATGCACAAGATTAATCTCTCTATTAAACGTGATTCATGAATAAGTTTGAAACTAAAGATGATCAAAGGTCCAAATCATTTCTTCACAAGATCATTTGACTATGTATATATATATGTCTCTCTCTCTCTCTCTCTCTCTCTCTGGGGTTGAATTCTAGTGAGAATGAAAGTTATGATGAGAAGAAAAAGAAGAGATCTCTACCCTTAGATCAATCTTAATCAAAGAGAACCACATATCAACACTAATGAGATACACTTAATCAATTCCCTTTTAAGACGTAATTCATGGGTTGCTTTGAGATTAAAACTGATCAAGAGCCCTAATCCTTTTTTATACTTCTCATCATAATTTTTATATTATATATTATTTAAATTAATATTGAGGAGAAATTGCATGGGACAAGTTCCAAGAATATTAAGTGGACAATGACGACATAATATGTACAAATGTACAAGCAAAACCATCAAAAAACACCCATAAAACATAAATCAGATGTCTACCACTAATTTTTTAATCATTTTTATTTATAAAATAATATATAATATAACTTTTTAAAAATAATAACAATTTGGTAAAGATAAATAAGATATTTTTGCTTATCACCAGACGTCAACTCGAACGTGATTCTTGTCATGTTAGTGGTATGGTTTATAGAACCATATCGTTAACATGACAAGATCACTGGATCGTACTCATGTTGACCGTTGATGGTAAGCAAAAAATGACAGATATCTCGACAAAGAACTGAACAAATGCCATAGCATTTGCCAAAGTAAAAGCCTCAAACTTTCATTTCAAAACTATTCGATACTCCCGCTTACATATATATATCTAACTATCAAAATAAACAAGGTCTCGTGTTTGAACCCGTTCTTAGTTAAACTCTTGCTAATTTCTAAAAGGGTAACCAAAAGAAAATCAAAACATGGTTCATGATGATCATCATGATGATGATGGTAATGTTGATGATGATGATGATGGATGGCTAATGAAAGACTATTCTAAGAAACCAGTTTTGGTCAAAATGGCATTCCTCAATTTGCTAAGGTCTCTTCCTTTGAGTGTCCTCCCAACACCTTCACACATAGAAGAAGTAATGTGACTCCTAGCTAGTCTTCTTGCAATGTATTCATGTGGTGGCACCATCATACCATCATCATCATCATCATCACCATGGCCATCATCATAACATCCATCATTCTTGTCCCTATCAGGGATACCCATTGGAGCAGATGATCTTTGTTGCTCATGTGTCACCCTACCTTCACTACACCTAGGTATGATCCTTGCACCATCATGGGATGTCCATGATGTTGATGATGATGATGATGGTCTTTTCTTGATCTTATGGGGTTTGTTGTTGACTTTTTGGTTTGACTCCTCTCTTTCTTTCACAACACCCCACACATCTTCCTCTTGAAAATCTTGATCTTCCATCAAACCCTTCCCACCAAACCAATCTGCCATTTGCTTCAATCTTTATCAAGATTTCAAGACACCCACATGAAGTTAGCAACAAACCCACATGCCAATTTGTGTGCTTTTCAAGAAAAAATGGATCTTTTTCAACCAAAGATTTGTGGGTTGTGTGTGTTTTCAGTGTGTGTAAAATGAAAGAAAACAAGAACAAAGAAGGAATATACCTTGCTTCCCTGTGTCTTTTTCAATAAGCTCCAAAAGATAGAGAGAGGGTTTCACAAAGTTTTTCTCAAATGGTAAAAGCACTTGACACAAGAAGCCAATGAACCTAAAAGGGTTAATAGAAGAAGAGAAAGTGAAACTACCCTCTCTTATTTTCTGTGGTTTTACATAATTCCAAAAGAAAAAAAAGCACTTCTTTCAAGAAACTGAAAAATGGGTTTTTGGGAAAATGAAATGTAAAATACTATGTCTAATAGATTGTTTTATAAGATAAAAGTTTATAAAACCAAATGATAAACTGTCATGTCTAAAAGTATTGCAATAGATTTATAGGACATTTTTAGGCGTATTAGGAAGTTTCTTTAGGACACTTTTAAAATAAAAATGTCATATTAGTTATTTTATGGAAAACTATTTTAAAAAAGTGTTATAAAACAAGTGATTATTAAGTGTCATACGAAATAACTGATACAACACTTTGTTTAAAAGTGTCATAAGAAACTAGTTAAAACGTCTAAAATGATCCTATGAGCCTGTTACAACACTTTTAGATGAGATGTTTTATTGTTTGATCTTATAAACGTAAGTCCTATATAGTGTGGTCTATTAGGACAATTAAACATTGTTGCCGTCCTATAAACCCGATTTTGTAGTAGTGAATTCTAATCGGGTGTCTTTCTTTTGGGTTAAGTTGAATTAAAAATATTAATATCAATATCTGATGCTGATATGTGTCGGAAAAATTTACTGAAAAGAGTTCAAACAACATATAATAGGGAGTTCATTTTGAATCATGGTTCTTTCGAGGGTTAAATCAGTCTTGGAGATGTAAAAAGCCAGATAGTGGATGAATAAGTGGAACTCCAGTAGCAACTTTTCAAAAGAGTCTTGAGAAGAGAATGGAAGTTACAACATATATACAGGAGAATTTGTCCAAGTCTAGCCGATGTACACTCTTACACGCCCCTCAAATGGAAGCTATATGGACACCTTGTTGTCCCAGAGTGTCGAGTTTTTAAAAAGGTAAACCTTGGCTATGATACCATGTATGAATATATGGAACCCCATTAAATACACTCTAAAAAACTCTTGATAAAAGAATGGATGCTCCAATATATATAGAGGAAAAATGGTTCAAGTCCAGCAGATATTAGAACGTGTGTGTAAAAGTGAAAGAGAGAGATTTAAAACATTAATAACATGTTATGTTAAATATCATTTATTTGAATTATAAAGAATATATGTTAAAACATATAACAAGATTTCATCCTTAAAAAACAAAGTCAAAAAGAATCTTTATTATATATATATAAAAGGAAAACTTTGGGGTATTGAGGTGGTATCATAACAATTGAATATTCTGATTTGATGAATTGTGGTTGGGTTTTAGTTGTCCTACCTTGATAAATAACTGAAAGATTTAAACAAAATGAAGTGTATAAGAAAGGTGGATTAGATGCTTTTGTGTTAAATAAGGGGGTTTGCTTTATAATGTTGTTTTATTTTGGATGATCCTCTTTGAGATTTATAATTATGGTTGGAATCAAAACCAACCAAATGGTAAAAATTTAATGCAAATATAAAAGTGAAACAAATGATGATGATTTGGCAACATAAGGTCTAAGTGTTCCTCAAATCTGAAATAAGGTTGACTTTATCATCTCACATATGTAGAAAGATAATAGTTTGAAAGAAGATGATGGATGTATAAAAACGTGGTAAAGATTTGAAATCTATAACCATGGTTGAAATCAAAACCAACCAACTAATAAAAATTTTGTGCAAAACGAATGCAAATGATAAATCTTTTTCTTAACAAGAGTTGTGATTACTGCAGTACTTGTAATAACAAATGTAGTTTAAGTATCTATTATATCACTTATATATACATAGAATGAAATCTTTGATTTAATGACATGCTTTCATCTACTGCTAGTACATGATTTACAGTGTTGGACCGGACGTTATAAATATAAATACAATCCCGAGTTTTCAGACACATCACACTTCCGCTCAAGTCGATGCTTCTACATTCTTTCTTAAATTGAGTTTTGATCACCGTGCAACGCTGAAGGCATTGAACACTGGTAAATAACTAAAGGGATAAAATTGGAAGAGAATCTCAGTCACTCTTCACAAGAATGAATACATGATATGAACCTGAAAGGTGTCAACTTTTTCTGTATGCAAGAAAGTTGAAGCACAATCTATACATACATACATACATCTATATCTATATATGTATATGTATAGAGAGAGAATGAGGGGAAAAAGAAGCATCAAGACTCCATTTCTTGCCCAACTATGGGAAAAAAGTGTTGGGTTTTGTAGTTGGAATTTTTCTTGAAATAGTTCTTGAAAAAAGAAGCCTAAAAAGCCAACAGATTTTGCTACCTTTTTAAGATGAAAAAAGAACCCAATAAAATCAAGAATCAAGAAATCTTTTTGTTGGGCAACTTGATAAGGAAAACCCAAATTAGACATGTGTTTTTTGTTGGCTAAATCCTTTTCTGTAAATCAACCGTAACAAGGCTGTCTTTTAACATGTTAAATGTGAGATTTTAAACAGGGTCTTCGAAATTTTGGGGCCTAAATTTACATGTGTTTAGGGTCTTTTTATCGACTTGTGTAAAACTATGGTCGAAGTTATTTAGGTTCAAACCATTAATTGTTTGGTTTTAGGTTCAAAATGTTACTGCTTTAGGTTTAGTTTCAGATTGTTAATCGTTTTAAGTTTAACCCATTTTTGTTCTTAACGTATATTATTTGATATTTCATTTATATAATATACTCAAAAGTTTTGGATGTAGCAGAGTCTCCAAAAAGATTGGAACGTCCCTGAACCACAAGAATGATGTCCGATTGGTTTAAGTTAGGCTCCAAAGGTCAAAAGTGTCTGGAGGTTCCAGGTTCGAATCCAAGGAGGAATACAAAAATCCTCTTGTGGCCACGAACATGTGGTGATTCTGAGCTACCCGTGAAGACGGGTAGTCGCCCTGGGATTAGTTGGCTCCAATAACAGGTTGAATATCCAGGTTAATAAAAAAATAGAAGAAATATACTCGGCATACAACTTTAAATCCCTTCTCTTCTGTCGTTTTTTAGAACATAAAAAATATTTGCATACGTTTTACAATACCTTCGAATGATCATATCTTAGTGTGTGATATACCGTGTTCGTTCCGTTTGATACAATTAGCTTTGAATTTTGTGTCGAGATTATGTTATAAAGCTATATCCGTTAAAAACCTAAAATTTGCTTAAGCAATATGGAGACAGCTTTTAAATGAACCTTGCAAATTAATTGAATCAAACGTGTCACAGTTACTAAAAAATGTACAACATTTATTACATGATGTACGAGTTATTATCACACTATTCTCGACCTTGAACACAATATCCTCATCTTCAAAGATTTGGACCGAACATTAAATTTAACCTCTTTGTCAACTTGTGATCCTATATACATCAAAACTGTACAAAAACGACAAGACGTAACAACATCAAGATGGTGATATGTAACTGGACCACAAATTTTCCGCATATATCTTAGTAATTGATCATCCACTGAATGACAAATATGAGTTTACTTGTTCGTTAAAATGTGAAAGATTTGACCCTTTTAGCCATCATACTTAGTTTTACGTCCGGTAAACCATCATTTTTGTTATTTACAATCTTGAAGGAATACTACAGTAAAGAATAAACGACCCAGTTTCTGTTGAATTGTCTTAATGGGAAAAAACTCACTGGGTAAAGCATCAGGTTCGAATCAGACTCTGTCCATCCTGCCTTACGGCACTGTATATTTACCTAACCATGATGATGGGGGACCGCAACGTTGGAATCTCTCTCAAAGGTACCACAACGAGAATAAACCGTAAATCTTTTATCCATACCCATGTATTCTTTTAATTATAGCAAAAAAAAAGACTCATTTCAGTACAAATCACTAAAAATCACCTCTTCGAAAAACCATCAAAAAAGACTCGTGCCCCTGCTTGAATCGTTCATCTGTTCGAGATTCTCATGTCATGTTTTTGTCCATCAATCGCATGAATACGTATACACAGAAAAAGAATGTGAACATGGATTCAATAAATTATAAATAAATACAAATCTGACATGTTTTAATTATATCAGTAGGGACATATATAAATGGGACGTGGGATTTTAAGACGGATGACTTTTGTTCTACTTGAATGTGGTTAGAGATGGAAGTTTTTACCCCCGGGAGGAGGATTCCCTGCTTTGACGAGTAAAGGGGTGGGGGTATGGATTTACTTTCGTATTCGAAGTGGGGTCGGGAATGACATTACGCACTCCTAATTAGACCTCGATTAATTTTTTTTATTTTATATAATATATGTATATAGTGTGTTTATAAATAAACATATATGTATATATGCATACATTTGTTATTAAGGGTTGGGTTCCAGTGAGAAGGATGGTTAAAATGAGAAGCGTAAAAAGAGATCTTCACCCTTAGATGAACATTAGGATGAGATGCACCATATCAGTCCCCGTATCAAGCACGATTCATGGATGAGTTTGAGATTAAAGGTGATTAAGGGTCTAGATCTTTTCTTACGTTTCCCACCTTAACTCTCATTCTCACATGATCTTTCGCCTTATTATTAAATGATAAATACATGATTTTTAATATTGGTAATTGATGTAGTGATCGATATAATTTTAATCTTAAAATACATTGTTTTTATTGTTTTTATTAAATGGGTACTCATCAGATACTCGACCCTCATTTAAGCCCCCCTTCGTACTGGGGGTGTAAATAATGCAAGTCGAGCTCAAGTATCACCATACTC